ATTTCCACAGACCTCACAGCGCTCACCTCCAGGAGACAATTCCTTCCTGACCATCCCAGAGGCCAGGCCCACCACCTCCCACGGGTCTGCACTCTTCTCTCTTAAGGAAACTTCAACAGCAGAACTCTGCCATTAGTGTTTTGCACACTGAACTCTAGTGCAAAAGGATACAATTCCTCCCACTATCTTTCTCCAGGTGCAGACTCTGTACATTTAAGGCCCTACTTAGTGACTGGGAACTCATAAAACCATGACAACCTCATGCTTAGTAACCCCACCTGGAATTAAAGTAGACTTCTGGTCTGCAGGAAACACACGCTGAACTCAAACATGCTCGTCGTTAGGACAGCACATGATTCTGGTGAAGGGAAAGCTGAAAATGGGGGATATAACCTTCCATTCGTCAAAGCTAAGAGTGGTTATCTTTCCCAAGAACTATTGTCTGCAACAAGAATAGAAGAGTTTACTAATAGTTTCCTAGGTGTCACCTTTAACTTGTCCCTCTACTGCTGAGTCACCCAGCTGTACCAGGGCAGGTAGCCAGAAACTAACTGAGCCATCAGACTGTTGCCTCACCACTGCGCCCACAGCTTTAATGGAGACTGGCTCCCACCCAGGCCCTTCCTGCCCATTTCCCCATCTCACTCTGATTTCCCATTATTTGTATCCGCCCTCATTATTCTGAGAGATCAAGGCCTTAGGAAGTTAAATTAATGCAGGAGCTCAGAAACCCATGTGGACATCTCCCACACATGCACACGCCAAAGCAAATTTGTGTATTATTCACTCCTGCATCAAACAGACCTTTATGGGTATTTTGTATATGTCCAACTCAGGATGGAAAAGAAAGATACCAGAGTATCCTGCCCAATCAGTTCAAAATATTCAGGTCTTAGAGACCAGCCTCATCCTGGAAGGGAGCAGGACACAGGGGTGTAAGACAGCCAGGAACAAAGAAGCAGCCAGCATAGGCACGAGAAAGCGTTTTCCAGGTCTTCCGGACAGTCTACCTTGAAGACAGATCCTTTCCCCATATGATGTATGTGAAGCCTGCTTGATATAGACCAGAGTTGAGCTCCTCATGACAACAGGGAGAACTAAGGAGGGACCCAGGCCATGCCACAAGGCCACCATGCTGCACAAAGAAGCCAGAAGCCCCATCTCAGTGTGTAGCAGTCCTGACAGAGGGCTCCCTTCCCCACCACATCCACCTCCACAGATTACCCCAGGTTCTAAACACTCTGCCTTCTGGCCACAAGACCTGTCCTCTGGTTTCCAGAATTCTCCTCAGAGCCCAAGGCCGGGACCTCCTAGACCCAGCCTCAAAGTGAGCTTTCTCATACCTCATGCCAAACTAATCTGTCAGGTAGTGAAGGAGACCAGACAAGTGGAGGAAGATGCCCACCTGCACCCTAATGAGTAGCTCCACTGAGGATCAGGACTAGGGGCAAGGTTTCTGGAGGCAATGACACTTATATTCCTCCTTCTCAGGACAGTGAGTTGTGTAGAAAGGGCAGAGGAGCAGAGCCCAGATGGAGACAGTCACTCTTCATTGGGGCTGTTCTTTCCTTAGAAACAAGAACAGAATCCCTCACTAGGCTTCAAGCACTGCTCAGTTGTCCCTGATGACATCAATGCCCCATTCAGATGAAGAAATTTTCTTCTCATCTCTCTCTTTATCTTCAAAAATATCCAAAAGTATGGAGAGCCAGGCCTCTCTATCCCACCTGAACACATTCAGGAGAAGTTAGAAGGAACCTGGACTTCCTCATGGTGGTCAGAGCAGAAGGATGAATTCAGGTAGGCTTGTGGGCCATTGCTTGCCCCCTCCCAACCTCTTCGTCTGTCCCTTCCACTTTTCTCCAAATCTCTGCTTGCCTAGACTTGGCCTACTGCCTAATAAGGTCCAATTGATAAATAAGGGGTAGGGGCTGGCCCTGTGGCCGAGTGGTTAAGTTCAAGCGCTCCGCTGCAGGCGGCCCAGTGTTTCGTTGGTTCGAATCCTGGGCGCAGACATGGTACTGCTCATCAAACCACGCTGAGGCAGCGTCCCACATGCCACAACTAGAAGGACCCACAACAAAGAATATACAACTATGTGCCAGGGGGCTTTGGGGAGAAAAAGGAAAGAAATAAAATCTTTAAAAAAAAATGGTTGTGTTTCTATACACTAACAATGAAGTAGCAGAAAGAGAAATTAGGAATAAACAAGGGGTAATGTTTAAGATGTGGCTATGCTCAAGGCTCTTGCTTTTACATAAAAATTTCTTGCAAATTATGGAGATACAAAGTAGAATGGTGATTTCCTGGGATTAAGGAAAGAGGAGACGAGGGAATTACTGTTTCATAGGTTCAGAGTTTCAATTTGGGAAGAAAAAAAGTCCTGGAGATGGATAGTAGTGATGGTTGCACAATAATGTAAATATATTTAATGTCACTGAACTGTACTCTTAAAAGTGGTTAATAGCTAAATTTTACGTTATGTATATTTCACCACCATTTTAAAATTAATTTTTAAAAAGAATCTCTCGTAATACAAAAAAAACTTAAGCTCTCATGGTAGAAGATGCTATTTGGAGAAAGTGGGCAGCGATCCCCTCTGCACATGCATGGCATTGTTAGAGCTACATTTTCCTCTGGGTTCTAGGTCAAGCAGAAGAGGCATCATGTCTGGTTGATGTCACAGACCCAGAAGTGGCTCCATCCCAGTAACTCTCCCCTGTTAACATGACATAGAAGAAGCAGCAGTTGTGGGAAGAATGAGCCAGAAGTGCTCTCTGAAGAGAGGGCTGGGCTGCAAAAGAGACAAGATCCAGGATAGAAGGCAAGGCGGAAAGGAGGAAATCTTGCCCATTCTTCTATGATACTTTATCTTACTCGGAGTTCACTGAGCTTCTTGGGTGTGTACATTAATAGTCTTTGTTTGCTTGGGCATTTTGTCACCAAAATTGAGAAATTTTCAACCATTATTTATTCAAATATTTTTCTGCTCCTTTCTCTCTCTCTCCTCTCCATCCAGGACTCCCATTACACATATAGTGTATGCAGTTCCCCACACAGCTCTGACACTCTGTTCATTTCCCTACTTCATTTTCTTTTTCTATTCACTGAAAAGTTCTAAAGCAATTGCAAGCTTATTAACAATAACCTTACAAGAGTGGCCAGGCCTCTCTCCAGTCACAATGGCTAAGCCCAGGCACAGGTGCCTTCTGCCCTTGGTCAGAGCAGCAGAGTCATGATCAGCTAGGTGTGGGTCAGATGAGACAGGGGGCAGAGAGGGGCAGAAGGAGAGCAGAAAGAGGCAACTGCCTGCTGATATGATCTGGATCCATGGGTAACCCTGATAGAACAGGAGAATGAGTCATTGGTTGGGTGGATGTGTAACCATACATAGTGTGCCAATAGCTCAGAGGAAAGTTACTATCAGAATAAAGTGATAACACAGCCAAATGTACAAGAAACAAGCGATGGAAATTGTGAAAACTCTCATGAGTCTATGTGACAAGATGCACTCAAATGATAAAAACCTGCTTTGGCCAAAATTACATTCTATCGTGTTCGATTTTCTATGCTTCCAAAACTTCATACACATTAATAGGTACTTCATGACCCAACTTGTTAACACAAATTTAATTAATAAATCACTACACCATTGCTGAACGTACCGTGGTTTCCAAAATAAGTGTGGGGAGGAGGTGTAAGTCATTAAAGGTAGGAGAACAGTGATAACCCCTGAAAGCAACAGTCACATCTGGGATAGACAATGAAAATGAGAAGATACCTGACATGTTCTACCTTCTGAGTGATGACTGATCCAACAGATGCAAAAGTAGCATAAGCATTATGCCCAGTTTGAGATAAAACTTCAGAAGTCTTCTGATATATATATTAAATTATTTAAGAACAAAGAAAAATAAACTGTCAAGCCTATTGCTTGTATTCTTAGTAGCATCATGCCATGGAACTTTCCCATTCAAGAGCTGACAACCCTCAAGCACCTGTGTGCTGACAACTCTGAGAGCAGCCATGCCAGGTTCTTCACCAGGGACAGGAAGCCTTGGGGGCAGAACTTTTGCCTATATCATGGTCTTCACTGGGGCACCAGGTTACTTGGGCCAGACAGGACAGTAGTGACCACAGAAACTCTGAGTGGCAAAGCTTTTTTTCTCTTCTTTCAGTCTCTATCTGCATGTCCCCAACTCCTTTAATACTGGGGTCTTTTAAACCTTTGAAATATCAAGAAGTTGAGAACAACATTAGCTTTATCAGGACAACCTGGGACCACACAGGGAACTCAAGTGAATTTCTCTGTCAAACCCCTCCTCTCAAACTCTCCTGTTCTGTCATTACCTTCAGTTCCTAGTACTCTCTTCAATGCCCCATCTGCACTTCATCCCCAATCTCTGCTCCTCACTCTCATCCCCAACAGTTTGCAGTTGCCTGAAACTACCAAGCAGTTGATGGATGACTAGGCTCTTGGCTGGTGTGTTTTACAAGAGACCAGAGCTTGGTACTTTGGCATTTAGACCAAAAATAAAACAAAAATAAAAACAAAAAGAACCTCTTGGGCTGTCAAAAAATGGAAGCTCAACAAGGAGTAGGATTGCATAGATGCATGCTATTTTAGGAAGTAGACAGTGACCTAGTCACAAATTCAAGGCCTGGTGGGGTAACATTCATGTTTTTGGAGGATCTCACTTAAGGAAAGGAACATCATTGCTGGCTAATGCCAAAGGCTCCCAAAGCTCCATCTGCATTCAAAGTGTCCAGTACTTTCTCCTGGTGAATGTGGTCATGCTATCAATGGCCTAAGAAAGTGGTTCTTGCAAAACCCTCACCACACAACTCCTTTTCTGTCAGGGAAAGAGAGATATGATGAAAGCTCTAATCTTGAGAATCAATAGAACTGGGAGGAAATTGGTGGTCACTGAACCAGCCCCTTCTTCCTTCACCTCTAGGATTGAAAAGCCTGGAAAGAGAAGGCACACACCACTTCAGACATGGTCAGCCTTTCGGAGAAGATGCTGCTGCTTCTGTTCTTCTTGGCCAATCTCCTACCCTCCAGGCCTGAAGGAGGTAAGTGCCCCTGGAGATCCTCAGAATCCTGGCTTATTCCAACACTGACACTTCCACAGTGTCCCAGTGAGGCTGGCATTATGATCCTGCCTTGCCTCAGTCCTTCCCCAGAAATTTGCTGATCCCCATATCTGTCACTGGGCATGCAATGCAGAGAAATTACAGCAAAGAAAACTACTCCCAAGGACATCTGGAGTGTCGTCTCCCTTCCAAGGGTCACGTCCTTGCTGCATAGAAAATGATTTAGTATTAGGATAGTACATGATTCTGGTGGAAGGGAAAGCTGAAATAAGCCCCATTCTCCAAAGCTACATGTGATTATCTACCCAAGGAGCTATTGTCAGGATCAAGAATAGACAAGCCAGCTACTACTCAGTTCCCTAGGTGTCACTTTCACCTTGTCCCCCTTCTAATTAGCCACTCAACTCTACCAGGACAGATATCCAAAACCTAGAGGAGCCATCAGAGTGCCTCACCACTCCTCCCACCACCCTAGTGGAGACTAGCTCCCAGCCAGGCCCCTCCAGCCCATTTCCCCATCTCACTCTGATGTCTCATCCTTTGTATTCTGCCCTCTGTGAGCCTAAGAAAGATAAATGGTGCTGGACTTCAGGATGCATTAAACTGCTCCTCTCCAGCTGCTGACCAAAGCAGACTTGAGGACTGTTCATTCATACAGCCAACAAGTGTCTCTGAGGTATGTACTATGTGCCTGACCCAGGATGGGGGAGAAAGAAGCCAGAGTATTCTGCTCCATGAGCTCAAAATATTCAAGTGAGACTAGACCCATTCTGGAAGTAAGCAGGATACATGGGTCTGAGAAGCTCAGGAAGAAAGAAGCAATCAAGTAGGTCAGAGAAAGTAATTTCCAGGTCTTCTAGGACAGTCCCCTTAATAGGTATATGAACTGTGTTTGCTCCAGAACAAGGGCTGAGTGCCTCCTCTCTACAGGAGGAAACTGAGAACTAAGCCAGGAAACAAGTCATGCTGCAAGCCCGCCAGCTGTCCTCTGAAGCCTGCAGCCACCTCTCATTGTGTTGGGTCCCTGAGGACACTACAACCACCCCAGCCTCTGAACATCCCATGGGTTTAGGCCACCAGGCAGTGCCAGTCCTCTGTTGTCCATGAACACAGAGATCCATGGCAATTTTCCCTTTCAGGGAAGATCATATGGGGCAGAGAGCCCAGACCACACTCCCGGCCCTACATGGCATCTGTACTTTCCTACAAAGGCAAAGAAGTCTGCATTAGATGTGGTGGGTTCCTGGTGCGAGACAACTTTGTGCTTACAGCAGCTCACTGCAATGGAAGGTGAGGAGAACAAATGAGTCTTTGTCTTCCTGGGACCCCTGGTATGGTCCCTTGGCCTGTAACTCAGGAAGGTCCCTGAGGACACAGAGCCAATGACTAATCAGAGGAGCAATCTGATCTGCTCAGACCAGGACACAGTGAGTGTGGGATTCAGGGGTGGAGTGTGTGGACCGAGGCCTGGGTGACAGACATGCTGCTGAAGAACAAGGCTGGGTCACTGCTGCACAGCAAAGAAAGTCAACACTCCACTTTTCCCTTCCTCCCTATCTGACTCAGCTGCAGGTGTGCCTTAGGCTGGAACTTCAACCTGCCTTTCAGAGACTGACCTGGAGCTCCTGTGGCTGACCCAATCTACCTTTTCTTTACAGAAAAATAAGTGTCATCCTCGGGGCTCACAATATCAGACAAGTGGAAAAGAGCCAGCAGGTCATTCCTGTGCTCAAAACCTTCCCTCACAAGGGTTATAATGATTATTCAAAGGTCAACGACATCATGCTACTGAAGGTACCATCTTGCTGACTTTCAGGTGCACTCACACAGGTCATGAGGGAGCAGACAGCTCATTCAGGGTCTCAGTCCCATCCTCTCCTCCAACCTGTCTGCTCTACTGGGTCAGTGCAATAGAAGGGGACTGGGGAGACTCCAGGCAGGGGGTACAGGCAACTTCACCCCTGAGTCTGAGCCCACTGGGAGGGCGGGACCTGAACTGCCATCTCTCACCTTTCTCACCAGCTGCAAAACAAGGCTCAACTCAACTGGGCTGTGAAGACCATCGCCCTGCCGCACAGCTGGGACTGGGTGAAGCCGGGGATGGTGTGCAGTGTGGCAGGCTGGGGACAACTGGCAAATGGTGAAAAGGCAAACACACTCCAGGAGGTGGATCTAGAAGTGCAGAATGAGCAGAAGTGCAAGGACCTCTTCAAAAACTACCACAACTCCATTCAGCTGTGTGTGGGGAACCCTAAGTACAAGAAGGCCACCTCAAGTGTAAGGAGACAAGGATCTTCCCAGCCTTGCCCCAGGGACACAGTGATGCTGGGGTGACACAGCCATGCCTTCTCCCACCCAAAACCAATAGCTGGCCTGGGTCAAATCATGGGTGGAGGCATGCTGTTCCCAGCATTTGGAGCCCTGGCGTCTCTCTCCAGCCAATCTCTTGGACTTTGTCAATGGGACAAGAGGAGGGCCTGGGACTGGGTTGAGCTGGAGAGAAGACACAGCAAGGACACAGGTTCATGGTGCAGGTAGATCACAGAGGATCTACCAACCCCCCTGACACTCAGAGCCAAGGTGAATGCTGACCACTCAGCCACTATCCCTCTGAACAACTGGGCCCTAGGAGAGCAGTAGTGCACCAGGGAGAAAACGATGCTGAGAAGGATGGGACCAGAGGTGTTTGACTGAGACTTCTTTCTTCTCTGTCCACAGGGGGACTCCGGGGGCCCCTTCGTTTGTAACAATGTGGCCCAGGGCATTGTCTCCTATGCACACCCCAGTGGGGAGCCCCCACGTGTCTTCACCAGGATCTCAAGCTTTCTGCCCTGGATAAAAAGCACAATACTTCATGCAGCAGCGACCAGACTCAGGTCACCCAGGATTGATCCATACAACTTCTCTGGGGCAGAGGCCAGAACTGCCTGGGAAGAGCCAGGTGGAGGGGAGATGGCCAGGGACTAAATAAACTTCCATCTCTAGAGTGGAAATCATTGATTCCTCCTTTATTCTCCAAAATGTCCTATAGCCTGGAGTTTACTGAGTAAATTTTGCTTCTATTTTTCAACAATCTCAAATCTTCTATCTAAGAATGGACTCAAAAGGTAAATTCATTTTTAAAACATCCACCTTAGCATAGGCTAGACTGGAAAGAAAAAGTGGTCTGCTGAATGTTTGCCATTGATGACTGTGCTTTGACTATGGGAAAATGTGTGTTGGGTAGAAAAGTAATACATGGTCATCATAGAAAGATAGTTAAATGCAGAACATATCAATAAGAACATTAAAATTACTGAGACTCCCACCACCCAGAAACTATCATCATTAATGCTTAAGCATGTCACCTTCTCCTCTTTTTCTATGTCTTCATAAGATGTTGTTGCTTAACAGAATTGGGACTGGGCTGTTTAAAGCTCATAATGCCTTCCTTTCCATTACTCTTTCATCTATCGTCACACTGGTGAGAGCATTGGGATAATCTGTTTGCAAATGCCCTTAATTGTTAGGCCCAGGGACATCAATGCTGTGGTTCACTGGTCACTGGACAGAGAATACTTGGTGGGTAGTAATTATTAGGATGATCAGGATCCATTTCTCTATCACCTGGCAACAGTGGCCCACATTCCTGCCAATAAACAGGCACTATGATTTGGGTGGAATGGTCCCCACCTCAGGTCCAGGCATGCTAAATGATCCAAGTATAAATCAGTCAGACCACTCAATTCAAATGAATCCAATAATAGTTTATTTTGGTCCAACAAATACCAAGTGAGGACTTGGTCAAAATGGTGGGATAAGAGGAGCCAGCCCCGTGGAGCAGCAGTTAAATTCAGATGTTCTGCTCTGGCGGCCCGGGGTTCACCTGTTTGGATCCCAGGTGCAAACCTACATACCACTTATCAAGCCATGCTGTAGAGGAAGATGGGCATGGATGTTAGCTCAGGGCCAGTCTTCCTCAACGAAAAGAGGAGCATTAGCAGCAGATCCTAGCTCAGGGCTAATCTCCCTAAAAAAAAAATGGTAGGATAAGAGAAGCTCTCTTTATCACAGAATATTTACATTTAAGATGTTTCCCAATATTTCAAAAATACAAGGGTGGGCTGATGGTCAGATAGGAAGTGGGGTTACCATTTAGGGTGTCTGGGTGTGTCCAGCTCTGCATGCTCCTAAGGCAGGTCCAGCCTTATCTCACACCAACAAGCAGACCCCCACCACAGCCCTTACCAGCCTGTATTCTAACCACAGATTCTCAGTCTACTCCAGCCAACTGCCATCTTCTCAAGGACAGGAGCCATCTTTCTCATTGGACCTAACTTGCTAAATAAATGTTCATGACTTCATCAGGATGTAAAAAGGGCCAAGAGCTGAGAAATGGAGACATTGTAGATTCAGTCACCGAGGGGCTTCTGAGGTCCAGCTCCTCTGCTGGCTGCAGCAGAGGCTTGGCTTTCCTGTTCTTTCTTCTTGCTTTCACCTGTGACTCAGCACTGGGAGTGCAAGTGTGGTGACAGTGCTACTGTCACCTATCCCAAGCCAGAGAACTTTGACAAACTATCTTGCAGACGACACAAGAAAACCAGGAGCACAGGTCTCAGAGGTCTGTGAGGCCCTGAGCCACACCCCTGCCTTCTCCTCGGGGGCCGTGTCTGAAAGGAAGAAACACTATCAGCTCTGACCTAGGCAGACCTCCAGGGAAGATGCAGCGACTCCTGCTCTAGTTGGCCTTTCTTCTGCCCCCCGAGCCTGGGACAGGTGAGTGACCATCCCCATTCCAGAGTCACCAGCCCATCTCACAAAACCCTCTGGACTCCTGACCCTTCTGCCTAGCACAGAGAGGGATATTCCTCAATTTGAGCCCAAGAACTTTCTAGACCCCAGCTCCCATCCCAAATCTACACTAAGAAGTCCAATGCTGCATAGACACTCAACAAGGATGGCAGGAATGAATGGTGTTCACTAAAAGATTTAGTCTGTGAGCCTCTCTCTTATCACCTGGGATGTGGCTGTTCACAGGAAGGCATTTGGCAGAGGATATGAAGCTACAAAGACAAGTAATTAAAATCCCTCAGGAAAGGACAGATCAGATAAACCGACTGCAGTAGTGGGACCTGTCCATGTCCAGCTTAAGAATCAGTTTCACTTCTCAGAACCCTCACCACCTCACCCCTGCCCAGGAGAGGACCCCAGGGATCTCAGAAGGGGCTGGATGACTACATGCAGGGCTCCCCTGTTGCCGTGGCTCTGCCAGAGGCCCAGAGACCCCGTTTTCAGCCCCATCTCCCCCTGCCTTCCCAGGCCTTCTGCTGCTCCCCACAGTGACCTCCCCACATGACAATGGCCTTCAATCCCACTATCACGATCCCCAACAAACCTCAGCCTAAAGTTAAGTGAAGGCCAGTCATTCATGCAGCCCGAAAATGTTTCCTGAGATCCTAGGAGGGGTTAGACCCTCGGACATGAGGATTTTAGAAAATCCCGCACCATAAACTCATGGACAGATTATTAGATACAGGCACCAGCTGGGACATTAGCAGAGGCTCAGAGGGGTGGGGAGATTCACTGAGAGAGAAGGCGTCAGGGGAGCCCTGTCCACAGTCCCCTGAGGCTCCACCATCCTAAAGATAGCTCTTATCTCCTCCATGCAAGGTCTGAAGTAGGACAGGGACAACGAGCACTGTCCCCCCTTGTCTCACAGGGCATTCGGAGGCCTCACATTCAGAAAAGGTTATTCTGCTGCAAGGAGAACCTGGGAGGACTGTCCCCCGGTGTCAGCAGGGCACTGTAGGCCCCATCTTCCAAAGCCTTCCCTCCTGACCACAGCCACTCCCAGAAAGCCCATCTTCCAGTCTTTTCTTTCAGGAATCATCATTGGAGGACATGAGGCCAGGCCCCTATCACACCCCTACATGGCATTGATAAGGTTTCTTGTTGAGGAGATGCTGAACAGGTGTAGCAGTGTCCTCGTGGGAAAGGATATTGTTCTCACAGCTGCTCACTGCTGGGGAAGGTGAGGGGGCCACAGACAACAGATACCTCCTGAAACCCCTACAGGGTCCTCTGCCCAGGGCCTGCAGCCCAGGGGAGCTACCCCAGCTCCTGGTAACCTAAGGACACTAGAGGTCATGAGAGGAGCCAACTGAGAGCATGACTGGGTGATGGAAAGTGAGAAATAGGACAGGTAAGTTTTGGGGTCAGAGGGTCAGAGGTGAGAACAAGTGGCCCAGTTGAGCAGAGAGACCACACTGGCCAAATAAAGCAGCTGTGGAGAATGAAAGTATGCATTAGGGTCAAAATGCAAACTCAGAGTACTTTCACAATATTGCCTGAGGGCAAGAGAAAGCTTCCAGAAGCCCTCCTCTCAGTGTCATTGAGAAGTACAGGGCATAGAGTCACTCAGCGCCCAGCCCTCCTGTCACTTCGATTTCCCCTAGCTGCAGCCCTGCCCTGCCCCGGCTGTCACCCACACTTCAGGGCTCCAGGGCTGGATCTCCTGTGACTCCCCGCACTCTACATCCCCACTCCACTTTCTGTGCAGCTCACTCAATGTGACCCTAGAGGTCCACAACATTAAGGAGCAGGAGAGGACCCAGCAGGACATCCCGGTAAGAAGCCATCCCCCACCCACACTATAATCCTAAGAAGATCTCCAACAACATCATGTTACTAAAGGTAAGGGAACCTCCCTACTGCTCTTGCTCTCCTGGGTCCAGATTGCTTCCCCTCCCACTGCTACCTGTCCCTCCCCTCCTTCCCATCCCGGCCACCTGACTAGTCCCAGTGGCTCATGGGAGAGGGAAGTCAGTGCGGCTTCATCGTGGATCCAGGCCTAGGAGGCCGCGGCTGAGCTGGACTTTCTTGCCTCTTCCCATCAGCTGGAGAGAAAGGCCAAGCAGACTGCAGCTGTGAGGCCCCTCAGCATTCCCAGGGGCCAGGCCCAGGTAAGGCCCAGACAGGTGTGTAGTGTGTCCAGCTGGGGGAAAGTCTTAATAGCACTTTAGCAATCACTCTGCAGGAGGTGGAGCTGACGATTCAGAAGGATCAGGAGTGTGAATCCCTCTTCCACAGCTATTACAGCGGGGCTGCCCAGATTTGTGTAGGGGATCTGAAGAAGATGAAGAACAGCTTCAAGGTAAGGTCTCCAGCATGCACCTAGACAGGCCCTGGGAGAGAGGAAACAGGGAGCTCTGGGGGATGGGAGTGGCCATATCTTCATGCCTCAGCCTGAGAGCTTGGGAAGCCTGGCTCCCCGAATCCAGTCTTTAGTTTTTACCCCTAGCAGATCAGGGCTGCAGGCTAAGGAACAGTCATCCCACAGAAGAGTTCTCAACAGAATTTCCCTGAGGATTGGAGAGAATTTCCCTGAGGACTGGCCTCGGTGGAGCTGCAAAGAATAGTCAGAGCCAGGCTGGAGCCCTGGGAAAAAGGAGGTGACAAAGACTGCTCTGGCCCTGCTCTCCCAGGCAACCCGTAATAGAGACCACCGAGCCCTGGGGTCGTGGGAAGGGCAGGACCCCGAGGAGGCCAGCTCTGTCCTTCCTCTCTGCCCTCAGGGGGACTCCAGGAGCCCCTTCGTCTGTGAAAACATGGCTCAGGGTATTTCCTCCTATGGACAAAACAGCGGGACCCCTCCTGCAGTCTTCATGAAGGTCTCACACTTCCTGTCCTGGATCAAGAGAACAATGAAGCACTTCCTCCTTTCTCCTCCAGCCCTCCTTCCCCCTAAACCCCATGCTGTATAGTTTCTCACTCATACCCTTTGGTGCTTGGCCCTCTGCAAGGGCTGAATCTGAAGGCTGCCCATTATAAAAGGACAAACTTCTTCCCCAAAATGTGTTCCTCCCTGGGCCTTAGAAAATTCTTACCTTCTCTAACCCAACCACCATCACCAACCCCCCAAGAATTCGGCAGAGAGAGGCTTAGGTTAGTGGAAGGGGACTAACTTCAGAGACCTAGAAGGCCAGGAG